CAAGAGCTAGCCTAGCAACCGTTAACCTCGCCTAGCAACGGCAAGCCTAGCCTACGATACGGAAGATTAACTTTATCACTCAATTTTACATTTTTTACAACTTTTAAATTTTATCTATTACTGTAACTAATTTTTTTTTTTAAATTTTCAAATATAATTTTTTTTTATTATTATTTATCGTCGATGTAAAACACTCATACTGCCTCGCCAAATCCATTCCTCGGACCTCTTCTACGTGTCTTTTTTTTTTTTTTTTTTTTGTTTGGATAATTTCAAGCTTTACCTCAAACAAAATCATACGTTTCGGCTTTTTACCACTGTTCTTTGGACCCATAGTGTCACTAAAGAAATTTTGAAAATAATAATGGCAAAATAGACACAACACAACAGGGATCCTTCCAGACCGGGGTGAACACGTTTACTTGTGAATGGAAATAATCTCGAAGGTTGGCGCTCGCTGCACAAACTAGAGGACACCTAACTGAATCTCGCTCCTATCTCAAAGCCAAAATATCGACCAAACTCCAGCTCGTATCTCAAAAAACTCGCATGTCGATACACTCGTATTTCAAGGCATTACTATATATATATATATATATATATATATATAATATTAGGCATTTCCTTATTAGGAAACAATGGGCATTCATTAACCGAGCAACCATTGCCACTGTCATTTGAAATTTTAAAATTATATCTATTATAACAATTTTTCAGGAAAATAGATTTCTCATGTCAACTAACTGTGATACCTCTTCCTTGTATTCTTGGTGAAGGGCTTCCTTGCTAACCTTTTTCTTAAAGTAATGCGGAATGTCAATATCATTTTCTCTTCGAGTTGCATGTGCTATCCATTTTAGTTGTTGCTGCTGTTGAAAGTCAGTCAAGAGTTGTGGTTTCTATTGTTTTCTACAGTTCTTTGTTTATGATTCTATAGCGACAGTCCACGAGATTTGAAAAAGGATCGATCCCTCTACGACCTACAGGCTTCATTCGCTGGAAGCCCTTTTTAATCATAAATCTGAGAAAACGGATATATGCAGTTGACAGTTGAGATATTTCTGAATGGCTTCGACGCCATGCATGACATTCATATTAAAATTAAAGTTATTTTCTCTTCTAAGTATGACGTAATCAAAGAAATTAACTCAAAGCCGTTACAACAGTTCCATGAAGAGTGTCAAGTGTACAGGTCGATTAATACACTTCCTGGAGTTTGTTCAAAACACGACTTGCTCCTTGCTTCAGGCTTCAACTGAAAGTTCAGACACACATCATGCTTGATAGAAACCTCGACCCTTCAAAATGTGAACTCAACTCTCCTAGCTGCCGAATAACTTCTCACGCAAGAACTCGTGGTAAAAAGAGAATGTGATTTCTTCTCAATAGACTTTGAATTCAATTGACGAAGTTTCTTTGGTAACTAGACTTTATGTATTTAAGTATACTACTAGATTGGCGGAAAGATCTCATCATATGACAGTTTAAATATCTAGATGTAACCACCAGTTTTATGCTAACAATTTTCCTTCTTCGTAATTCTCACTCGTGGAACTCACTTCCGCCTTCTTGTTTCCCAGTCAACTTTGTCCTCTAAAAATTTAAATGAAATGGGAATCGTTATCGTCTGTTTTCTTAATTCCTGTTTTTTTTTTATTGTTCTCTACCATTAATGTTTTATTTTTCTCATATTCTCTCACACTCAGTAATTCCTTACTTCATTATGGCTTTATTACATGGCTTGAGGTGAAATGCTTAAAAAATGACCATCAACAGGTCACAAGGACAACTTCTCAAGTTTTTAGTTTTTCCCATGACCAGATTTATGTTGGGTATTCTAAGGTTGAATCTTCAACATTGGTACCCAGTAGGTGAAGTATTAATATTGCGTACCCAGAAACGTTGCCAACCTAAAGACAGCATTATTTAATTTTGTTTTGAGCATTAGCATATCTTTATATTAATATATATCCAAGATGATTTATCATTACTTTTAGACGTTATTTTAGTGGCTACACGTGTTCAACTTAAAATTATCTTCTGTTTACATTTCGGTTACAAAAGGCTAGCGGATATGCACCCTTGTGCAAACTAATTGAAACAACAGCTTTAGTTTCCTTTCTTTCATAATACGGTCAGTTTTAGACCCACTGGAGTGGCAGGATGTAATCGATTCCTATTTTTTCCTCAGATTAGGTCATTTGCAGTGGTGTGCAGTAATATGGATCTATTTTCGGCGTGTATGATCAAATTTGTTTGGCCTTGAAAAAAATTGCGTCGTCAGTGATTGCATCAGATTCTTATCACGCCCAGACACTATTGTCTCACTTATCGATTAGTTGTCCTACGGCCATTGTCTCGATGGGCGTTACTCCAAGGAAGCGTACGAAAATTGTAACGCTACACAAAACCACTGACAAACCATACCAGTGAGCAAATCAAAGTACAATAGACTAGCCCGGAAACTTTTCTGATTTAAATCCAATTGAGAATTTGTGGAATGGTCATACGAAGTACTAACATGTGCACTGGGTCATGTTTCATTGGCAAAATACGAAAAAAAAAAAAAGTAAATGACAACGGAATTATTCCTTTTGTTTCAATTAATTTGCACAACTTCTCAACAATTTTGATTTTGGATGTTCAACTTATTTGAAATTTGGAAAATGCAATTGTGTAGGTTGAAATTTAACAACGTCAGCATAACAGAATGTCATCTTTGATGATGAATATCTTTGTTTAAATGTCCATATAACCACTCTGAAGATGGCTCATGTGAGCCGGAAGCTTAGATCAAGGAACAGCATAATAAAAAATATCCAATTGTTGTCAATTTTTGTCTTTATCTTCACCCAAAATCAAAATAAATATACGGCGTTTAGAACGGGTCGTGTTGTCTGTTACATTTAAAATATATATGTTTGAATATATATATATGTCGTCACACATTATGAAATGGACAAAGTCCGACAATTATTTTAAGACTTTTTTATTTTTTATACATTCTTTTTATAGATATATTTAAGTAAATGCTCTGTTTATAATAAACAGTATTAAACAACATTTACCGGCCTGAATGTCCGAGAAATTTTCACAGAAAATATTCGTCCTCCGACAGGATTCGAACCTGTATAGAACCGTCATTTAGCTTGACGTGCCTTTACCGATTTGGCCACAGAGGCGCGTTCGGTTAGCAAGGTCGAATTTACTGTATTTAAACTTCAATCTTCCATGAATCTCTCACGTACATTCATATCTGCTCATGGCGTATCAGATGTAAACATATGACGTCACACATTATGAAATGGATAAAGTCCGACAATTATTTTAAGACATTTTTATGTTTATACATTCTTTTTATAGATATAAATATTTAAGTAAATGCTCTGTTTATGATAAACACTATTAACAATTTTTGCGGGCTTGAATGTTCGAGAAATCTCTAAGAAAATATAATCTCGCTAACCAGACAGTTCCTTTATAGCTAAATGGTACAGCACGTCAGGCTATATGACGGTTCCGTTTAGGATACAGGTTCGATTCCTGTCGGAGGACGAATATTTTTTGTGAAATTTTCTCGGTCATCCAGGCCGGTAAATGTTGTTTAATACTGTTTGTTATAAACAGAGCATATCCATCTATATCCATATACACACACTTTTCACATACATATACATACATACATACACATGCACACACACACACACACATATATATATATATATATATATATATATATATATATATATATATGCACACATACACATCCATACACATACACACACACACACACATATATATATATATATACACACTTACATATACACACATACACACAAATATACATATATATGTGTGTGTGTGTGTTTGTGTAAAAACCCAAAAATATACAAAAATACATACACACACATACATGCATATATACACACATACATCCATCCGCATCCAGTCCTTCATATATATAAACATTTACCCACATATATACATACGGACATACGCATACGTGCACATAAACATATATACCTAAAACTTTACATTTCTATACAATTACATACACCCATTTAAACAAATAAACAATGTATCCCTGTATTTATCCGTCTAACTATATATACATACTTATATACGTACATATACACCCATATACAAATATATATGGGTACACACATACCAAAACACACACACACATATATACACACATCTACATATACATCCATCTACATATATATCCATCCATCTACATATACCAACTTCCATATACGTATACATAAATATACATATATACACATACATGTACATCCATACATACACATACATATACCTATATACACACACATACATATATACACATATATACACACATAGACACACACATAAGTACACACACACACATATATATATACACACACACACACACACACACACACATATATATATATATATATATATATATATATATATACACACACACATATACATATACATATACACATACATATATAAACATATCCATACATATATATATATATAAATATATATAAAAATTAAAATTTAAAATCTATATAAGTAACATTTCAAACATTTGGGCGTATAAAAAAAAAAAAAAAAGAAAAAAACGGTAAAAAGTAAAAAAAAAATACATAGCGCATCACATAAACATACACAATAATACATATAGAGATAAACATAATAAACATAATAGTCATTCCATTAAAATGTCATGCCCGATGTTATTGAACCAAGATGGAACTAACATAATATATATATATATATATATATATATATATATATATATTTCATTATTTACATTATTCGGATTATTGTCCTCATCTTTGTTGCCATATTTATCACAACGTTTCGGCCATTGTACGCTCCGGCCTTCTTCAGGTGTTTGGAATGTCGAACTGAACCCTTTATTTCGCCCGCTGGGGTAGACTCTTCTTGTTCCAAAGATGAGGACAATAATCCGAATAATGTAAATAGTGTACATAATACCTCATCTC